ATTCAGAATTGACCAGATTGACGAGTATTGAAGGAGCTTTAATGGCAACATTGGTGCATGTCTTTGGCTGCCTCATGGACTTCTCATACCCCACAATGTCTGATATGACCTCTTTTTGGAGAGCATCGATGATTGCAACCGGCGATTTTGGTTGAAATCGCTCAATAAAGGCGGACAGAATGTGAAGGAACTCAGGGGAGCAAGAGCCCCTAATCCCAACCGGTAATTCAATAGCAAGGTTAGTATATGTCGTCACATCACTGTCGGAGAAAGAGAAGAACGGGTCGACATCCACAACGGGAGGGTTACCCTCCGCTGAAGTACCATCTTTGCGCAAGACCTTTTCCGAAGGAAGCCGTGATGTATCAAGGATGGTCTGGTGGAGAGAGAATTCCGGCATGACCCACGCATTTGACACACCAGGTATATTTACTGATCCATCCCTGGACGGATCCTGATGCTTGGATGCTGTAGGGGTCGAACCGACTGTCGCTGCCCGATGCAGCTTTTGGTTCCTCTCCATTCTAGATGGCATATTAGTTGGTCGGGTGGGCGTACGTGTTTCTCGTTTAGGCATGCTTTTCACGCTCAACGTGTCTTGCAGAACAAGAAAGCTTCTCGAGCTTAGATTGCTTCTGGCTGCAGAAAGGCGTCGCCTCGGTGGTGGCAAGGACTCTAAGCCGGAATGTCTTGAAATAGGCTCGGGCATTGTAGGTATAGGAATAGTCGGTGGTACAGAGTCGTCCTCATTGTGCTGCAGCGAGTCAGGATCCATGTCCTCCCAATCCATGAGGAGCCACGGCGTTCGCTGTGTTCTTCTATCATGCACCTTGATATGCTCCTGTTGTAGTTTCCGGCTTTCATTTATGTCACTTCTTCTTTGAACCATCATTATCTTCAAATTAGACTGGAAAAGCGCGAGAGGCGTGATTTCCGTATGCAGCAGACTTCCAAATCGACCCAGGAACTGGTAATCAATTGCGGCAATGGATAAGTCCGGAATAAGGAGCTTCATCCGCTTAGAAAACTTTGCATTTGCCAGATCATTGAACTCTGTCGTGATGGGTCCAGACATAACCATCAGTGCGGCTTTGTCTAGGAGAACAGAAAGATGAATAGAATCAACCTTGGCCCGTAAGAAGGTGACATCGTGAAGCTGAATCGGAGACAATGGTGGAAGCGCATTTTCCTCATTGTCAAATGTCAAGTCGAAGCTTTGCAAAGCTGCTACAAGACAGCTCAGAAATTCGGGCGAGCATTCTCCGATGATGCGACCAACTCCAAAGTCCCAATTGCAGACATACGTAGGTTCGGCAGGGGGCAGCCCGAATAGACGGTGGCCGTATATTGAAACACCATCGATGAAAAGTTGGGTTTCCGCGGGAAGGACTCTCTCCTCTATCTCGCTAGATTCTAAGGCCACCTTGAGAGGGGCAAGGGAAAATTGCAAGTCCATGTAGTAATTGGTGAATCGAAGGTCAGCCTCCAGCAAAGGTGCGGTAAGCCTGAGACAGTCGGAGTGTCCATAAATATTTCCTGGAAAGAGCGCGCAAGGACTGTTAACTGTTACGTGCACGATCACATCAAGGTCGTTTGACTTCTTATTTGGGTTGACTCCGCCATGCGATCCAGACTCCTCCCGCTGGTATGCGTGCTCCTGGTACTCCTCTAGAGTTTTGAAATGCATTTCCTCTCCAAAGTAGTTCTCTCTGATTGTCATAAAAGACCGTATCAAGAACCCAAACAGGTAAAGCCTGGGAGAAAAGCCATCAATGTTCAATAACAACGTATCTGTCAGCTCCGGGGATGTTGATAGATAGTAGTTATATGAACCATCAATGAAGAGGCTTTCCAAGGTGGCAGTCGATTTATCTTGCAGAAAGGCATGTAGCGTGTCCCACACTGGAGTCAGATAGTCTATACCTCCATCCTCCAATTTGACGCTGAACCCAACGGCGTTCTGCTCAGGCTGATACTTGCTCAAGGGGATGCTGATGTCGGAAATGAGTGTCGTGCCCTTGATAGCCAATGAGCGATTGTCATTCAAGTCCGAAGGGTTGCTGACAATGTTCATATCATTGACGTTCAGAAACAAGCGGAAGTTGTCAAAGGACAGTTTGAGCTTATATACGAACGGCACAAACGTGTGATAGTCCTGTGGAGGGCCCGACGCCCAGTCAGAGACGAGATCCGTCACAAGGAATATATGATCGCGCAGTAGAAATAATTCCATATCGGTACTTTTAACGTCGAACACCCAGGTCCGAAGACTGTTCCAAGATAGCGGCACGGAGAGATCGCAGCTAAGAAGTTGTCTAGGACATTGCCACAACAGCGCATGATTTACACTGGACAACATCTTAGTATCTCGAAGATCGAGATCAAGCTGACTATGAAACCCTGAGGCCGACGCCACCATATCCATAGCATAGTTTATGGTGGAATCGCCCGCGACACGGAGCGAAAGCCATCCGAAAGGGCGTATGTCAGGTCCTATATGGCCTTTGTCCCCGTCTCCTGCACGCGACTGCCTTCGACTTGATTGCTTTCGTAGTTTGGAAACACCTCGTATTGCGTCAGCACGGCCTTTCCACTGCCAGTCCTTCGAAGGCTCCCGGGTCGGGATACGCAGTGTCAACTCTTCATTGATTTCTATTCGTAGGCGAAATACAGAGTTCTTTCTCAGCTCCCCGGGGGTCAGCGGATCGACCGGGTGCGAGCTTTTGTAGGCATTTGGAAAGAATATGTTTTGCAAGCCTACTCGCTCTCTATCAGCCCAGGGGCCATAATTGATAGTGCCGCCGCCAATCTTCACATCGATACCCCATTCCGGAGGCGGTGCGCCATTGATATCCGAAGCCGAAGTTGAAGGTGCCGGTGCCGGTGCCGGTACACCCGGGGACGGCTTGACACAACCAGGGATATCCCAGTAGTATGCCACAGTCATGCTAGGACTGTCAATCAGTGTGGAAAACCTGGCATATTCGACGGGATTCCACTCTTCGTGGTCATCCTGGGAGCTTTCATCCAAATATCGAGAAAGACCAACCCAGCGTGTGTCATCGGGCATTTCGGCTGAGCTTCTAGGGGCCGCCTCTGGGTGTTTCTCATGTACGTGGAATGATTCAACAGAAGTCTGGAAGTACGGGATAAGATCACGGATACTGTGCCAGACCCTGCGTTTTTGCAGCTGGTAGTTGAAGATCGTGTCACGTTTGCGTTTCGTTTCCATTTGCTCAGACCGGCTAGAACCGAGGCTTTTCGCAGCAGCGATCTGATTTTGCTTGAAGTCCGGGTTGGGTCGCATCTGTATGACCGGGTGAGTGAAGTCAAAAGAAAACAATTGCCGGTAAAGGTCGAGGGGACCAGAATCGCAGGCTTCGATCAACCCCGTGGCGCCATCGAAGATGGCAGTTAATACAGATCTCGTATTTTCGTTGCCCATGACAATAGCACCTTTTTCACACTCGATCTTTATGGGCAGGAGCCGGAGTAATCTAGATAGGCTCTCCCCTACCTCTTGCCCATTGCCATCTGAAGCCGCAGTCGCGGCCGTCTCCTTCATCTCGCTATCACGACGACTGCCATGAAGGTCAGACGCCTGGTCAGGAGTATGCCCCGCAGAGCCATCCATTGTGTCATCTTTCAATCGGGAATCCAGAGTATTGCTTCCAGGATACTGCGGTCGTGTGAACGATGGCGCGGGCGGCGGGGGGCTGAAGCCCGCAAGAATACCTTCGTAGGCTGGAGTTCGATTGTACACAAACCACTCCAGACCGTATAGTTTGGCAGTAATGCGACAAGGAAGCGAGTTCGTACTCTTCAGCCCCCCTTGTTCCCCTCGATCGCTACTGTTGCTCGCGCTGGCACTGGTGGTTCCATTTTCTTGGGGTTCATCCTCTGATTGTTGATTGTCGGGTCTACCATTCGCAAGGTCCGTTTGCCTTACCGAGTGTCTCCAATAATGCCATGTTATAAAGCCCCCATGCACAAAGATAGTTTCGTTCACCCCATGGTATCGGATGCCTTTGAAGAAAACCCTCCCTCCCAATAGGGAGATCTGAAGCGCACGGATGTCGACATAAGCACGATAGTAATGCCATGTATAAGCGCGGATTCCGTATGATAAGAGAGTCGCAAAGAGGCGGTTGAAGTAGAGAAGAAAGAACAATACGCTGGGAAGTATTATCGTTAGCGGGTCACATTGTAGAGAAAGGGGAGAGAAAGGATAGAACCCACAGGATGCAGGAAACAATGAGCTCAAGGAGGAAGAACCTGAATGAATATTAGTCATTATAGAAGAGACGCGACAGCAAAACTGACCAGTTGAAGCTTGGATCCGGTGTCAGGGATAAAGCTGTCAAGCTTGTGCTGGCCATGTCGCAATATCCTCCTACCAGAACCCATGTACTTCGGGAACATGGTGACTCTGCGAAACAATCACTGCGCCATCAATGAGAGCCGGAATTGGAAGGGAAGCATAGTTAAACAGCACAAAATATTCGCGACAGTATCTCCAGGAAAATCGAGCAAGGCAAAGAAGGCCCTAGATTTCTTGAAACTGAGGCTGGAATGGCGGCTTGGGTTCACAAAAAGAGAGTGGAGAGGACGGGGAAGCTCCGACGGAGGGACGGGCGGCGGACGCGCACTAGACCAGCTTAGCTCAGACTAGGCTGCCGTCACGGAACCAGTCACAAAGTGTCAGTAGGCGGTGTCTCAAGCTAGAGCGGAGGAATGGGCCTGATGGATAAGGATCCCACCCCCCGATGTCCACGCAATATTCACCGCACGACCTTGCTTTCCCTCCCACCAGTCATGCGAGGGAGCTCTTCGCTTTGGGAGGTCTTGGGAAGTTTTCAGTTCTATGATTATACCTGTCCGATGATCATGTCTGGCGCTTGGTGACATTTCTGATGGTCTGAAACGGAATGCTTTACCCGTGGACACTGCCTTGAAAGCGCACGCGGTCAACTACCGCGAATACTGATAACTTGTTGATCATGAGTAGCACTTCGTCCTTCGGTGGTACAGGCTCGAGCCTGGCACGAGCGGTGGTGATAGTCGCTGGTGTTTCTGCGCTGGTAGCTTCACTTCTGTCTCTACTGTGAGCAAGCTCTCCTTCCCCGCTGCCCCTGGTGGCGCCCCCCAAGGGTACATGTGCTGATAGCAACCGATCATCGCGGTCTTAGGTCCATATGGCTTCAGACGTACGGCAATCCAAACCTTCCATCTCATTCAAGAACTATTCTGATTGTGGCATAGGAAAAATTATCGAAAACCACTCCTCCAGCGTTATGTTGTTCGCATACTGTTGATGTCCGTGTCTCCACTTTTGTTGACAACCCTGTTGGCGCAATGCTGATTGCAATAGGGTCCCTATATATGCGGTTTCCTCCTGGGCTAGCATTATATCTTTGAAAGCGGCGATGTGGCTGGACCCCGTTCGCGATGTCTACGAGGTAACCTATGCGCGCCGACGACTGGCTGGCCACATGCTTACGGTGCTCTGCAGGCGTTCACAATCTATACCTTCTTCCAACTACTCATCAACTTTCTTGGAGGCGAGCGAGCCTTGATCATAATGACTCATGGCCGTCCTCCGATTCAACACGCTTGGCCACTAAACCATATCCTGCCCAAAGTGGACATCTCCGACCCTCAGACCTTCTTGGCTGTCAAGCGTGGTATCCTCCAGTATACCTGGCTAAAGCCAATCCTGGCTATCATCTCTATTGTCATGAAAGCGACGGACACCTATCAGGAAGGCTATCTAGGCTTGACGTCGGGGTATCTCTGGACGGGTATCGTGTACAATGTCAGCGTGACCATGAGTCTCTACTCATTAGCCATGTTTTGGGTCTGTTTACACAACGACCTGGCACCGTTCCGTCCGGTACCTAAGTTCCTCTGTGTCAAGCTTATCATTTTTGCTTCTTACTGGCAAGGCTTTTTCTTGTCCATCTTGCAATGGCTGGGCGCTCTATCCAACGGCGTGGCGGGATACACTCCCGACAACCTCGCCGCTGCGATTCAGGACAGTCTGATCTGCTTCGAGATGCCATTCTTCGCCATTACCCACTGGTATGCTTTCTCCTGGCATGACTACGCCGACTCCACCATCTCGGCTGCCCGTCTGCCTGTGAAGTTTGCCCTGCGTGATTCCTTTGGTATCCGAGACCTTATTGAAGACACGAAGATGACCCTTCGAGGAGAAAACTACGAATACAGACTCTTCGATTCCGGTGATCACATCATCCCTCACGCCGAGTCCAACTCCCGTGTCAGGAGAGTGATGCAAGGCATGCGGTATGAGCGTGGGGGAAAAGCGAAGTACTGGATTCCCAAGCCAGGCGAGGTTAACAGTCGAACGCCATTGCTATCAGGGTCAGAAGGAAGCAGTCGCGATCGACGAAGCAGCACACTAAGTCGCTTTCGATCAAACAGTGACATCGAGGAGATAGGCCTGGATGATGAGGATGAGAGACTCTTTACCAATGCACGCGCTCTTGAATTCGGCGATTGGAATGTAGGTCAATCTGTATGGGGCTCTATTTCTGGACACCGATGGGCTAATTGCAATCAGTACCCCGTGATCACAGCCAACGAAGTGCCGGAGGATCAACGGCAAATACACCACCGAAGCCCACCAAGTCTACAAAATCCTGGAGCAGTGAAACGGACGCGGAAGCACCGAAAGTCCCGCATAAACAGTGGCGGGGTCACCCCACGCAGTGAAGGCAGCACCCGTAGTTCTCGCAGGGAACCCACCAACGGTCGCCAGACGGTTCGTCAGGAAACTAGCTCATCCATATCCCACAGCTCCCAGCGTAGTCAGCTGGTGGACCTGGTAGTCGAAGATCACAAAGCAGAGGAAGCAGAAAGAGTGCACACACAGAAGGCGTTCGGATCGACCTGGCTGGAACCCGAGCAGAGGCACTTCCAGTATGTTGCAACATCTCACATATCGCATCTTTCTGCAGCGTCATAAAACAGCACTAATATTTTGTTCAGGAGACCCTCTGGGGAGCCAGTTGATGAACGACCAGACTATCTCGAAAATAGCGCAGATGGCACAATGGAAAATACCAGAGCTGCAAGCCCAACCGACCGAGCAGGAGATGATGAACCAACGACACGGCCAAATTGGGCATATGGAGGGTTGGAAGAGGAGAATGTGTGGGATCGCTAGGAGAGGAGAGCTTGCTTCATGCACAGACCCATCCCCGCCATTTCCGGTGGCTTTACATATTGGGGAGCATCTGCAGATATTTTTGAGGCATAGGATATGTAAGATGAATGAAACCGTGAAGTGTTTTATCGATATGAGCAGACAGGAGGTGAAGGATGAAACCAGGAGAAAGTTGCGGGATTTGGGGGAAGAGGGACACTGCAGTCAGGCACCGAGTATCTAAATTTGTTTCCGTCTAATGAGTTTCCTGTGAGTGTGAAGTGTGAATCCCACCTGCTGCTAGCCGGATCACACATCAGCAACGATCCGAGCAAATGGAGCGCATCCATTAGGCGCCGAGGGGGTGACATGGCTATCAGTTGATGGTTTGATGGCTGATCGACAAGCCGACACGCTGTCGAGGAGGGGCGGATCATGGCGGTTATTGGTTGCCAGCCAAATTAGCGGGTGCCTCGAACTGCATGGCACCATCTCGTTAGCTGCTCTGCTGCTTCCAATCTGCTCTTTATTGATGGATCAGGGGACAATAGCCTCAACAGGTCGCCCGCCTTTTCTGTTGTTCACAACTTATCGCGGGGAGGGAAAGGAACACTTGGGAGAGATGGTTGGTCACCACATCCTCTTGTCCCGCTTCCCTCATTCATCTTCCTGCTTATTTCTCTCTTTCTTTGTTACTTTAACCTTCCCCAGCCTCTCTCTCACAATCTCTCTCTCATATCAGCGGTCTCATGGGCCCCTCCCGGACCCCCCGATTTAATTCTCCTGCGTCCCCGCTGGGCGGATGTCTCGTATTAGTGTTTCATTGACCTGCCTCGTGCATCGCCTGCTCGCGCCTTTGCTGCCTGCCTTTTCTTCCGGTCCCCACCCAGTCCTCCCTCCCTGGCCACTGGGCGATGGAGCATCACTGCTGATGCGCTGGCAGCCATGATGCAGGCAATTGAGCAGGCAGGCTCCATATTCACTGGCTGGATATCTTCCTGCTTGTTCTGCCTGAGCGGGAGGGGCGACGATGAGAGCTTTCATCATCAACAGGCTATGAAGCAGAAAGGTATAGCTTTCCCCATACTTTCTCTACTACAACTTCTCCCACTCGGACATGGGGACTGACTGTCGTCCCTTGCAGGTGTTGAACGAGAAATGAGAGTATGCCATACTCAACCTCATCTCGTTCCTCCGATGAACCTCACCGACTACGATGATTTGCCCAGTCCAAGCTCTCAGCCTCGGGTATCATCGCTACAGTCATGGGTGGTTGAGGGCAGGACCCGGGCATCGCGAGCATCAAATCGAGCTAGCATGTCGCTCAAAAGGAAGTCGACTGCTCCCGTGAGGATCAGTGGTCCTTCAGAGTTTAGAAGAGTCTCCATGTTCCTGACTGAACTGGATGAGTATCGTCCGCTGGAGTTGAGCTTCAATACCCCAGGCAACAGACTCCCGGACCTCCCCAGATTTGAAGACTTCCCTCTCGACCACGACCGGAAGCAGGTCATTTCACGACCCCCGCGGGCTCTCTCTTCCACCGAGATGGGCCGGATATCGCAACCGCGGACTCATCGACCCTCTTCTTCGTTTCAGCTTGCGCGAAAGCCGGTCGGGTCAGGATCTCGTCGATCCTCGTTGCCAACCCAAGAACAGCTCCAGTTGTTAGAGAAGAATACCCCCATCACCAGTCCCTTAATCCCTCATTTTTCACAACGTAGCTCTGCGGTTACTGGCTTGACCGCAAATGCGGTTCCTTCTACCACTCCCAGGCTGGATTTAAGTGGTGGCAGCACGTCCCTGGCTAGGAACGAGCTACACCGGGACACCCACGAGGCCCCTACATCCACGGTCCCAAGGACTCCCACCAAACCCAGCCTGCAGGACAGGCCCTTACCTTCTATCCCGACTGAGGAAGATTCCCCTTCTTCAGGCAGTACGTATCACCCACCTACTACTCCCTCCGAAAGCCGACCCCCAACCACACCATCGGAGAATCCCAATCAAACCCCAACCCGCTCGGGACGTGTTACCCAGTGGCTCTTTCAGACACCCAACAAGCCGAACTTTCTTTTTTCCAACCCGAGCAAAATCAGCGACAAGGGGCCATTTCGCATACGCTCGCGGACGCTGAGCGGCTCTACGCTCGCATCAACTACCACCAACATTACCGGAGGGCACAAGACTACCCCGTCTCTCGCCAGCGGCACGACAGTAGCCCCAACGATGCAAGCATCGAGCACAGAATCACGGAACTTTGACCTCCCTCTTGGCAGCCCATTCTCACCCAAACAGACCTTTCCAACCGTGACAGAAGAGCACACCTATCCCACAATTCATGAGGGTGAACAGCAACAGCATCAGGAGCCCGAAGTATTTGATGATATGCTTACCCAGTACTACGAGTATCGTCATTCCGCTGTCGGTCTAGCATTTTGATCGATCTCCGAGCAAATGAGCCCTTTACTTCTACAATCATCCAGATTCAGTTTTCTTCAATTCACGTCTCGGTCAACAGCCTTGATATGCAGACTACCTTTATAACCATATTTATCACCCTGCTCAAGGGGAACATCTATCCTTTCCGGCTTTAATGATCCTGTCTCTTGCAGATCCTAATTTCAGGATCGAACCTATATACGCTCGCTTTCTTTGCACTTTTTCCGCAACATCAATGTAACTGATACCCTTTGGTTCTACATATGTGCTTTTTTGCTTCATCCGTGCTTCAATAAGATACTATTTTATGATTCATTAGGTGTCTCTAGTCATGAAGTAGCTAAGTTGTGAGCGGCACGAATAAAACACAGCTGCACAACAGAGAGAATATTATGCATGGAAGTACATGTGCAGTCAGTCATTGTCCGGTTGTCGACCCCTTTACCTCCGCCCAGTACAGATAATACTTTCCTCCCTCCTTAAACCGAGAAAGATATTCATCGACCCGATTATGGTCCCTATGGTAACTCAATTGCCCATTTTTTTTTCTCCGGTGTGTCAAAACCAACACGGCCATCATGGATTTTGAACCATACAACCATTATCATTATCAAGGAATTAGTATTTGGCAGATCTTGTACAATATGAAATGACTGCCAGTAGTCTCAATCATTCAACAATGTATATTCAAACAGGGTTGTCTTCCCGCTTGCTGGTGTCCCACGTACGAGGACGACGTTTTCAGAGGCCAGGACATCTACAACCTTCAATACTGTTTCCTTGCGTAAACACCTCGTTGGAGGAGGAATGATAGCTTCTAGTTCTTCGTGAGCCTCTCGGATTGTAGAATTGAGAGGGAGCAGGGAATGACCTTTACGATCCTGCGAGGACATCTGGAAGATCCCTTGTCGACAAGGACAAGGACATTCTAGTTCCCCAACCTTAAGGACTTCTGTACACGGACCCGCGCACATTGTACGTATGTGTACAGAATGTGTGTTGTGAAGATCATCAGGATTGAGATGTGGACGAGGAGATCGGTGGGAAGCCGAGAGATCCTGCATCTTGAGCACGGGTCTTGGTGAGATGCCTTGTGGAAATTGGGAAGTCGTGACCGTGACACAGAGCAAGCAAGCGAAAGGAGATGATCATGGAGAAGTTCATGTCTAGTATTCAAATTGACACGAGGGAAAAGAGCAGCGTCACCATGATGATGACAGGACGGCGTGCAATCATAGTCTATTGGCAGCAAGCGCCCAGATTTTTCTTGGATTAACAGTGAATTGCTCATGATACGAAATAGGTTGTTGTCTAAGCTTACATACAAAGAAATAGCTCAAACGTGAATCCTGCCACTGGTACTTAATCGCCGTGTTGAAGACAAAGGCTCGATAGAGCGCAATCCTCGACCGCCGGAAATGGCTTCAAGTTGAAAAGGGTCAGTGGCCTAGTTTGGTGGCCATGTGGCAGGCATTTACATGATGCTACATACTTGAGTGGGTAGTTTCCGTAATGATCAAAAATCCCATCCTGCCGCTGGTCTTTTACAGACCTCTCTCTCTTTTCTTGACACAATCAAGGCTATAAAAGCTGTTTATAGTATTCCTTTCTATTCTGGCAGATTTAAAGGAGCAGAATAGAAAAATATGTAACAAGCAATAATATAACATTTGGACCACGCCGCTTTTCTCAACCTTTTCTGTATCCCTCTCTCTCCCCTTGTGACCATTTGAGATAGCTCCCATTTCTTGACACTAAATGCTAGCGAGTGTTGGGAAAGATCTTCTTCTGGCCCGTAGCGACTCGGCAAGAGTACCCTGGCTATGCTATATTCGAGAAAGCAAAATAGTGTTACGAGCCAAGGCCTTCGAAGAGTCAGCAATAACGCACTGTCAGTTCAACAGTGTCGTGCATGGGATCAAGTGACAAATCCAGGATCTGGACCGTATTTGATTCTTTCGGCTCGAATGCTCCTGGCAGGCGGGCATTCTTCAAGCGGGCGGTCCCTCAAGAATGAACATGCCAACACTGATGAATCGAGTATGCACATTCCCCAGTTGCTCGCGTCGGCCAATGGGAATCCCTGGCAGAACCCGCGACCAATGCAGCTGGAGAACCGCCACGTGCTTGAAGGAGGAGAGGAAGTTAGCATCGTTGCTGTCTCTCAAAGGTGATGTAGACCGGCCATCCCAAGGAATGATGGACACACGGCGGTTGGGATCCTTTAAGTTATCACTCATGTCGTCTACGAGCGAGCATTTACTTTCATGGTTATCATGCTGCAGTATCCATTAAATAAGCTTCGTCGCAAACATTTTTAGTAGAGAAGCAGATCATCTTTCACCATGGGTCGCTTGGTGATTTACTTCCCCACGATAACAGCGTTTATCGCTTTTATCCTCACCTTATTATGTCTCTTCGCAGGTACGCAATTGACGGTGCTACCGGGTGTCGATATATTCACGGTTGGTCTATCTGGTTCCGCGTTCATAGTGTCTGGTCGGTAAGCTGAGATGTTACAATATAGGTTCTTTCTTCAGAACAGAGTCGAAATACGGGGATACATGACTTCTACTCCATCTATGTGATGTCGTATTGCGAAGGAGATCTCGTGGCAGGCAACAGGCGCTTTTCAAATTGCTCCAAAGCCGCATTGCCCTTTGCCTTTGATCCTTCTGTGGTGCTGTCGAAAGAAACCGGTAACACCACTTCACTTTCGAACCTGGGGTGGCCCGATTCCGTTACAGATGATTTTCATGCATTCAGCATGACCAGCCGGAGTATAGGGATTCTCTACTGCATCGGAGCCGGGGCTGCTGGCTTGGCGATAGTGGGCAGATTGTATTGGCTGGTTCGGCGCGGACCACGGCAGTCCGTAATGGAAGTAGCGGCATTACTGGTAAAGATACCTCCCCCGACCTCTGATTGGGATGATCCCAGCACTAACCACGTGCTAGTTGGGGTTCATCATGCTCGGAATTTCCTCGATTATTGCGACGGTTATCGCGTTTCAATTTGTCGATCTGGTCAATGACCATGGCCGCGATATGGGGGTGAGTGCCGAGTACGGACCCCAATTTTTGGGGATGACCTGGGCGGCCACGGGGTTGATGCTGGCGGGAGGCATCACCAGTTTATTGACGGTGCTGGTCGACCGGAGCCGAGCAGAGACAGGCACCCTTGCAGGTGACTGTGATGATCAAGCCAAGTCCCTCATACACTCGGACTTTGAATCGGTCAAGTCCAGTGCGGAACCATCGCCAGGGGTGGAGACAGAAAAGGAGGGAAATCAGTGATGGAAAGAAGAGGAATAGGGACTGTATTTGATGGAAAGGGTAGATAGTGCGGATAGAAATGAATGGAAATGTAAGGAATGCATCCAGCCCAGGCTATAGAACATGAAGCTATTGGACTGTCTTGGGGATAAGAGGAAGCCGGATATAAAGACCCACAGAAACCCCATGAAAGGGATTCTACGGCCGTCCATTGTTGATCGCATCCACTGGGGGGAACCGACGATAGTGTGGTACAGTGCAGCGTAGCGTTGCTGGGGGGGAAGAACCGGTCACGTCACCAGTGGAGCAGGATTGGGCTCGGGTCGAATGACGAGGGCGCATGGCCTCCTTTGGCCCCTCCGGCGCTGCTCGTTCCCGGCACTCGTCCAGCGCTAACAGTAGAATCTCTTTTGAATTATCCATTCCATCGCTGGCCTGACACCAGTGGTGGGTCAACCCCTGGTGGATACTCGATTCGATTCCATGATGATGATGTTAACGACCGGTTGGACGATGATGATATTCAGGGGAATGATGTAGGAGACCTGTACCAGGACCAACAAGCAGCACCCCAGTCATTATAGGCCAGCGATCGGGGTTATAGGAACACAGCCTTCAGGGAAACTGACTTGTTGGAAGTGGATGGGTTAGACTAACCGGGATGAAAATATGTGAGATGATGACTTACAGTAGCACTAGTATAGTCGATGTCCATCCGGGCCAACGGGCCAGTATCGCGTCGTCAACCTCACGATGGCACAGTTGCACATGCGACAGACAAGGCCAGGATTGTACTGTGGGCTGCGGAATCAACCGGGACCATGACTGTGGCCGTGTCTGATTGGGATAGAAGCCAAAAGTAAGGGGAGGCGTGCAGGCCTGAAAATGCCCGCATGGCCAATCCGCTTTGGGCCTGCGTCATCGCCGCTCATTGGAACAGCCGGCACTGGTCCTGTTTGGATTGGCTTGGATTGGGCCTCATCGTGATCCATTAAGTCATAGGCAGTTAGTTTAGAATCATAGTAGTCAGTTAGTCACTGCGTGTGTCTCTGTTCCCCCACTTGCTGCAATTGGCCTGGGTATCGTGAAAAAGTCTTGGTCCCATTCACCGTTGCACTTTCCCGTTGTTCCCATCGTGGGTGCCTCATTCTCCCTCATTTCCCTCAATTCCCTCATTATACTTTATATACCCCTCCATTCCCCCTCTTCTTTCTCTCCGTCTTCTGCTCTTCAATTCTCAACCCTTCCTTTGTCTTCACAACACCACTCTTCTCTTTCGCGATATCAATCATCCTTTCATACCTCTGATCATCTTACTTTACTTTTGATCAGTCTTCCAATTACACTCTACCTCCCTTCTACTATCAGACTTCCACTACATCATGGGAAAGAAGGCTATCCAGTTCGGCGGTGGTAACATCGGCCGTGGCTTCGTCGCCGAATTCCTCCACAAGGCGGGCTACGAAGTGGTCTTCGTCGATGTCATGGACAAGATGGTCGAGGCTCTGCAGCAGAACAAGTCGTACAAGGTGACCGAGGTCAGTGAGGAGGGTGAGCACACAACGACTATCACCAACTACCGTGCCATCAACTCCAAGACCCATGAGAGCGACGTCATTCAAGAGATTGCGACGGCTGATGTCGTGACCTGTGCCGTGGGCCCCAACATTCTCAAGTTCATCGCCCCTGTCATTGCCAAGGGTATCGATGCTCGCACAGAGTCTAAGCCTGTCGCTGTCATTGCCTGTGAGAATGCCATTGGCGCTACCGACACCCTGCACGGCTTCATCAAGCAGCACACCAGCCAGGACCGCGTCGAGTCCCTGTATGACCGCGCCCAGTTTGCCAACTCTGCCATTGACCGCATCGTCCCTCAGCAAGCCCCCAACAGTGGCCTCGACGTCCGCATTGAGAAGTTCTACGAATGGGCTGTCGAGAAGACTCCCTTTGGCTCTGTCGGCCACCCAGACATTCCTGCCATCCACTGGGTTGACAACCTGGAGCCATACATTGAGCGCAAACTGTTCACTGTCAACACCAGCCATGCTACTACTGCCTACTTTGGTCACTTCCGGGGCAAGAAGATGATTGCTGACGCTCTGGAGGACAAGGAGATCCGTGGACTTGTTCACAAGGTTCTCGAGGAGACTGCCTCACTCATCGTGGCCAAGCACGACATCTCAGAGGAGGAGCAGAAGGAGTACGTCGAGAAGATCGTCAGCCGCATCTCCAACCCTTATCTGGAGGACAATGTCGATCGCGTGGGTCGTGCTCCCCTGCGCAAGCTGTCTCGCAAGGAGCGTTTCATTGGACCGGCTTCACAGCTGGCCGAGCGCGGCATGAAGTATGACTCTTTGATGGATGCTGTCGAGATGGCTCTGCGCTTCCAGAACGTGCCTGGTGACGATGAGAGTGCGGAGCTCGCCAACATTCTCCAAGAACAGCCGGCGGAAGATGCCACCACCAATCTCACCGGCCTGGAAAAGGAACACCCACTGTATCCTGCCGTGCTGGACCGGGTGCGCAAGGTGCAGCAGGGGACGAAGTAAAGGCACTGCTGCTGTCGCAAACTGTCTTTCTTTAATGTTCACGATTACGATTACGAAAACTGCGAAAGCATTCCGAGTCGATCACCTGCATGTACAACTGGCCACGCCGCAGGACGGTGACAGGCCATTTGGGATACGGCGAACACTGGTCGGCGCGGATATGGAGCATGGGTATGGAAACGGATTAGCATAGTCATAACATGATAATTATGTACATAGTTGCAGGCAACTAGCACGAATACATGACTGAAACATGAATCTATTCTGCTCAGGTATCTCAAGAATAGTAGTTGATTATAGATCTCAAAAGTATCACAACTTACTATCCCTCCACACCGGCTTCCTCTTCTCGACAAACGCCCTCAACCCCTCCTTAATATTCTCCCCCTGATTCAACTTCTCCGACCACTCTTGAATCAACATCCCCGTCGCCTCTTCCGCCCCCACCCCCTCCCACCCCAGCTTGACTCCCTCGCGACTAACCAACACCGCATCAGGACTATTCCCCGCAATCTGCACCGCAACCTCCACTGCCCTCTCCACCACCCCTTTCTTACTATCATCAACAACCTCATTCACAATCCCCCACCTCGCCGCCTCCTCCGCAGGTACCTTCCTTCCCGTCAACGCCATCTCCATCGCCCTCTGCCGTCCCACGATCCTCCCCAACCGCGGCAATGCCCCCGCCCACGCTACCACCCCGCGCTGCACCTCCGGCAACCCGAAATACGCCTGCGAAGACGCAATCACCATGTCGGCGTTGAGCACCATTTCGCATCCCCCGCCCAGGCAGAGGCCGTTCACCGCGCAGATAATGGGCTTTTTGCCAGATCGGCGAGAGAGGCCCCCGAAGCCGGTGGGGGGCATGGTGCGCGCTTGGCTGGGTTGGTTGGGAGTTTGGACGGTGGAGTTCCATTCTATAGTAGTAGACATTTATTATGGTGAGTATAGGTATATGTGTGGTGGGTTGATGATGGGGGGGAGGAAATGGGGTAGGTTAGGAATATGGATATATACTATACCTTTAAGGTCTGCGCCCGCGCAGAAGGCCCTCCCTGAACCAGTCAGTATGCCTACTCTTATTGAGGGCTCGTTGTCCATCCATGTCCAGATGGCGTCGAGGTCGTGGTGGCCGGCTGTCGAGATGCTGTTGAGTGCTTTTGGGCGGGAGAGGGTGACGAGGAGGACGTGTGGGTGCGGGAGGGAAAGGGTTATTGTGTTGGAGGTGGGGGTGGGAAGGGTTGGTGCCATTTTTGGTTTTTGATGGTATTTGGATTGCGGTATGGGTTAATTGGATGTAGGGGAGAATTGAGAGAAGGTGGGAGGGTTGGAGATAGAAGTGGTGTTGTTATAAGAGTTGGTGGTTATTTATGGATGGGGTCTTTAATTGATGCCGAGGTTCGGTCGGATGTTATATTGTTAAAGTTGGAGTGCGGAGACGACGGGCTGCCGCTAGACTGGTTCTGTTGTTAGTCGGTGGGTATCGTTTCCGATTGCTGTGTCTATTTCATACTTTACTGGAGCTACATGCAAGTTTAGAAGATATAGAACAATGGGATCTATTCCATAGTATAGATAGAACATTAGACGTGTCCCTTGTATAGATAAACATATATGTCTATCTACTTAATCAAGCCCAGAAATCGTATCATCTACCTCCAACGCCGCAACTCCTTACACAGAACCACGT